GATCGATCGTTGTGAGAGACAGATTCATGCATGAGTGAGAAGCAATGACATGGCGGAATCCGGGGGGTGGTCGTCAGCGGCCAAGCGCAAAGCAACGGCCCTCTGGAGCGACCACCTTCTGACAATTGGTTTTTATCGCGCCTTTTCAGGGCTCCAACGTCTTCAACTGCCCATGGCCCCAGGGGAGTAAGAAAACCTCCAACGCTGGAAGGGGGTATCAAAAATAAGTAGTCAATAATCCAACAAGGTTTACTGTGACTAATGCCTGTTTCTTTTTGTCTTTAGAGTAGAGATCATCAGTTTTCTTGTCTCCCCTTACCAGATTAAAGTAGCTCAACGGAGGCGACATTTCATTGGACATGGGCGGTTATTTAGGCCCCTCTTCCCGTCCGAAGCTCCGTCAGTCTAAGCCACACTCATCTCGACTTAGTGTCAACTCACCCCTGGCGTCATCATCAGGGTCACCCAGTTTCAACCCAATTTACGATCACTTGTTTGACTTCAACAGTCCTGGCTATAATTTTCAGCTTACCTATTTCACAAACTGCGTCAGGATCGTTTCTCTTAATCTGTCTCGCCTTGCTTCCTTTTATTGAAGATGAGCAGCATCAGCAACAATCACATCGTCACATCGGGAGGCGATGTCACTGTCCCCTGTTTTTATTCGACCGCGGGTTTCGTCAAGCAGCAGCTGGTCTCAAGCTACTGGCCCCATAATGCCGATGATAATTTGCACCCAAGTTCTATAAATAAATGCATTTGTGAGTACGTAGGTATCGAAAGAGCATTACTCAAGGAACTGTCAAATTGGCTGCATAATGTCCTCCTTGCTGAAGCCTCGCGGTGGGCTACCATTCCCAACTAAATTATCTAAGCCTCTCCAGCATTAGATCTGGCAGCTCTGTATTTGCAAGATGTTCTTATTCGCTGGCCCTACAAGCCAAGACTCAGCCCCGTCCTCTCCAGTGTTTGTGAGCGAGTGGGAGTCAGGCAAGGATCGAGAATTGCCATTTCGGATCAGTCTGATGGCTCTGGTCGTGCGAGATTATTGTCATCCCGTTACTCTCGTCTCGATAAGGTGTAATTATTACCCATCGTATCAAACAGGATCCATGACTGGGTTTGGATATGTATCAAGTCATGTATCCGTAAAATCGAGCAAATATAAGAAATAATGACTAGAACATAAATAATAATTGGTTACATTCAAAGAGTGGACCGGCCTCTGATAAAGGATGTCTTTATAATTATCCTCAGACCCTTGCAGCCAACCTTGGGCCATTGTTCTACGTACCTAGATCCATTGGACCCTTATTCTTGGCTTCTCTTCAATGGGACTATCCTGAGCCAATGCCGGTTTTTCAAGTAAGCACTATCGTTCCTTTCGCTAAACATTACCGTCGCATTTACCACCGTCTTGCAAGTAGTGAAAACACGGACATGAAAATTTATCCCAATTTCTAAATTCAACATTCATGCCACATGCTTTCACAAAATCCCAGTCTCGTTGCCAAGCCATGTCCCCACCACCCGCAACACCGACCCCAGTGTGGCTCGATTGCCTCCAAGACACTACGAAGCTAGTCCATCGGGTATGGAGCACTGTGGCCTTGTTTTGACTTCATCTCTTGACTGGAGGGGAGCGGGTAGCAATAATTGTCGATAATTTCTCTTTCATTCAACGTTCTCTAGAAAAACAGTGTACAAGCTTCGATGCACCTCGGCTTTGGCTCAACCCAACATCCTTTGATTAACAAAAAGACAGACCCAATTTGTTCTATCAACCAACTGAACTTCAAGTGCTCAAACACAAACAGCTACAAACACCGAAAGACATGCTTCTCCTCATCGTCCTCAAATTCCTCTCGAAGACTTCACAATCAGACCACGAATAAGCGGCCGTTCGCAACTGCATCGTCCCAGATCTTTGATGTGTAATCGGTTGGTACCCGCTTACCCTGACGGAAGCGAAAAGTCATTGCAGGGTGCATCAGGACAATTTCTGCTTGTCTGGCTCTGGTTATTGCCACGTTGAGGCGTTGTGCCTCGTCCATGAAACCGGGCTTTGTGGTTCTCACCATATCGAGGAAAACCACATCTGCCTGATTACCTTGAGCCTTGTCTACTGTCAATACTTCTGTCCTCTCCTGCCACTCAACTGGCCAACCTTTCACCACGTGTGCGTATTGACGCATCGAGACACTATATGGTGTCTCGATCATCACACGTCCGGGCTTCCCGTCTGTGACCGTTCGGAATGCCGGGTCCTGCAAAAGCTTTTTAACTTGAGCCAAGACCCAACGATGATTCACAGGGTTCCAGAAACTGTGACAATGGTTTTCCTCTTTGCTTGCTGAAAGGGCAACAACAGCCCGGTTCGCGTCCAAGCTTCGACCACTACCGAAAGCCTCAAGGTGCCGTCTCAGGTAGCTAACTGTTTCGGGGAACTGCTTCGATAATGGGTAACCAGATGACATCTTTCCGCCATAGAAGAGATCCGACGGCAGCCTGTGTAAGTTGCCGTGCGCTCGCTTGTTAATCAACAATGAACAATTGATCGCCCCCAGTCGATTGGCCCTTTCCATGAGACTAAGACGCAGCTGCTCAGAATATGGATTCATCTCAAGCCCCTTCTTTAGGGCATCGCGTGGATCGCCACTCTTCACAAAAGGTCGAGTCTGTTTGACATCCCCTGTAAATATCCAAGCAATTGGCTCAAAGAAGGCAATAGGTATGAGCGTCGTGAGCTCTCTGGCGTGGGGTGCTTCGTCCATAAAGATGACATCCGGCTTAAAAAGCTTAGCGAAGCCGCCATATGCGGCCACGGGTGTCGTGGCTATGAAGTCTGTCTGCTTCAAAACCGCGGTGTACAGTTTGGTAATTTCGTTCCGCAGACATTTCCAGTCGTCGTGGTGCAAGACTTCCTTAGCCTCCATTCGCGTGAGCACCTTCTTGAGCGCCACAAAACCACCATGTTTGTGCTTTTCGTAGTACTCCCAGGCAGCTTCATCCAGAGTTGGCGCCTTGTTGGGGTTTCTTCCGCTCAAAGCCTTTGCGATGCTTGCAGTTGTCAAAAACTTTTTTGTGAAGTCGGTCTGCTGTTCACTGTCTTGTGCCTGGTTCGTGCCCAGTCTCTCGCTGTTCTTCATTTCATAAGGCCAGCCGTGCATTCGAATGATGCGAAGATGAAGGCCACACTCCTTGGCCAAGGTCCAGTAACGGTCCGCAGCATCATCGACAGTCTTATTGAGGTCAACGAGAAATAGAATGGGATTGTAACGCCTCTTCGCGCCTGGGCGGCGTACTGACTGAATCAGAGCAGAAACGACCATGTTCCATTCTGTCTTGCCCGCACCGGGACATCCATTCACAAAATAGAGACCGTTCGGTATGGCCTGTAGTCCTTGAAATGCGGCCAGGTGGTCCTTATTAAAGGATCGGAATCGTCGCAGAATGGTCCTCCGAACCCGATGGTCTGGGTGGTACGGGTTCCTAAGGTGCGGGAAAATGTCGTGAAGGTTCACAACACTCGTGTTTGATCGCTTGAATTTAAGTATTGTCTCAAAAGCAGCCTTACACTTTGGGCTGACTTGTCGACTTTCAATTTGGCAACCTCCAGTTAGGCGATATAGCGCAGCTAGTTCGGCCTCGTAAGTATTCGAAAACGTCTCCCATGTGATGAAGACATGTTTTTCGCTCGATGGATCCAAGGTGATGTGTTCAAAGTTGTCGAGTGCAGAGGCTGTCTTCATATGATCCATTAATTCGAGAACCTCTTGATCGCCCTCATCATTCTTCACCGCACGTGGGACTTGGACGTTGAAGGCCGCACATTTCACGACTTCTGGGCCGACGATGGTCTCCATATCCTCATACGGATTTTTGACCCGTGTTGCTGATAAATTGACCAGTGAATAGGTCTTGTTCGAAAGATTTATTCTTTCTTCAAACTCGATGCGGAAGTTGTCAGTGAGCGCGGGAAAGATGACTTCTTCGCATTGTTTAGGGACCGGGACAAGGAGGAGCCAGGTCGTGGTGAAAGAATTGGCTAAAGAATCAATTTGGGCTATGGGCCAGGCCTTGAAAGGGGTTCGAAGATCATTGAACCGTTTCAATATCGTCTCCTCGTTTCGTTGTTCGATCATGGTACCATTCTCGTGTCTGTTCACATACTCGCTCACAGAAAGAGCGTACAATGGTTCCAGTGGCTTCTGAGAGCACAATGTCAGTGACATGATTTCCAGGGCTGGATGACCAGAACTCACATTTCCGGAGGTAGAAACACTTCGTCCTACAGGGGCCGACACGATGGAAGCAGATGATGCCATATCGAATACCGACGAGACGTAATGAGACTCGTTAAAGTACCGAACGAAGAAGTTGACGATATAAAAAGCAAGAGTAGAAGTGGAAACGGAAACTCGGAGAATATGATCCCTTCAGCTAGTCTCAGGCAGAAGACTGCAAAGGATGAAGGGAGGAGAACGGGCGAGAAGGAAGGGTGAAGAAAGGAAGAGGGAAGGAGGAGGAGCGTTTGCACTCGCCGTTTGTTATTAGGAGAAGGTGCTCATGCAGGGCCGCCGCGGTAGGCACCCGACGCGCTGCTCCGCACTGCGCGCCAGCTGTGAATCACTGCCAAAAGTTGGAAAGGGGGTCTCGACCTAGGGCAAAGAGAGAGGGCAGTGACAGCAGGTGTTAGTTCAAGATCGGCTCTCTCTTACAAAAGGTATCTCGGGCCTTAAAGCGTGTGTGCCAAGTAAAGTACTAAAGTACTAAAGGTAATGTAATCAAACACTGTATTCGTGACGACTACCTTAAGTACCTCTAAGTTAAGGTAGGTATCTATGGATCTATAGCTCGAACAGAACAGATATCTACCACATTGTGCCCTCTCCAAGGAGAAAAACTGTCATCTAGTTTCCAGGCTGCTACAATACCAAGCCAGTAACCGCTAATCTTGTTCTCTGTAACATGTTGTCTTGGCCAAACCTGCTCAGGAGCTAGGTCAAGTCAATCACCATGTCCTCGACAGCCCATGGGTATCTGCCGCGTCGATGTTGTTGGATATCGAAAGCCTCAACAATATTTCCGTCCATCATGTCCGGAGAGTAGCGTGGCCTATCCTCAGAATCATCTATAAGATTGGCTGTTGCCTCGGAATCATCCTCAATGAGGATGATGTCTTGGTTGCTGGTGAATGAATTCATACGGTCTTCCTTCAAGAGCCATTGCTCTAAGTGCTTGTATAGAACACGGACTGTGTTTGGGGGAAACGCGTTTCCAATCTGCCGTTTGATGGATGTTTTCGTACCGAGGAACTGATGCGACTTCGGAAATCCCTGCAAGCTTGCATACTCTCTAAGAGTGAGCTTTCGTGAGCCGTCAGGGTAGTAAAAATCACTTCCGCCAGTGGTGATGGTCCCTGCCAGGCGCTCTGGGTCATATGGCGCTCGCGGTGGATCGAAATAATGGACATTATCCAGGTCATGAAGATCATCACCTGCGCGGATGCCCCTTAGCGCCTTTCCGATGCTATTGTAGGGCAGCAGTCCATTGCCGCCCTCACAACTGTGTGTAGCTTGGGGGAAGGTTGGAAGTCTCTCGCCCGGTGCAGCGGCAATAATGATTAGGCGTCTCCGGTCTTGAGCAGCTCCCCACGTGCAAAGCCTTATGACTCTCCAGCGTATGGAGTATCCATGCTGTGTGAAGTCCCCGAGGAATCCATTGAAGTACTCCTCGTGCCGGTCATGCGTAAGCCCGAATGTTTGCTCCACGGTGATGATACGGGGACGCAACTTCTTGAGTAGTTGATTGCAGCCATATAAAGCAAAGATATTTGTATCATCATGTTCTGATGCGTGTGTGTGTGCTGGCGAAAAGAATTGACAGGGCGGAGAAAAGTGTAGAACATCAACTCGCATATGACTCGTCTGCGGGTTGGATAGAAATTGGTCAAGCGACATCTTGAATAGTTCGGTTTCAGAAAAATTTGCTTGGTAGGTATCCCAAACCTCGGGCGCTTTATCCAATGCATATTGGACTTTGAAGCCAGCCATGAGGGCTCCTCGCGATACTCCACCAGCACCGGAACAAGAGTCAAATATCGTGTACCGCTGACCGTGGCCTCTATCTTCTTCGCTGGGCCGCTCAGACTCCAGGTCGATAAGGTGACCGCCCGAAAAGGGGTTCCATGAGCCTCCTCTGGCGGTAGTTCCTCGCCATCTGTTGCGGAGTATCTCGTTGGAAATTCTATATTCTCTCCGTGAGACTTCGCTAGGGTCAATACGAACAAGAGATTCTTCAACCTGCTTCCGACGGCTCCTTTGTCCAGCGTAGCAAACCTCCAGCTTCTAGCGGCAGGTTAAGTGTGTGGACTGCACATTCGGTCGGCCCCTTTCTGCAGGATATCTTGGATTGAAGACAGCCCGGTTGAAATTGGGGTATTTGGCGTTGGTTATCAGCAGTGTGTGCATTTGAATCACTTGTGATGTACTGATGTCTGTTGCTTCTTCGTTGTTCGTGTCGTCATCCCGACATATCAGCATGCAGACTTCGTTTGGCTTCTTTGGAAGCTTTGCTAAAGCTGAACGGTTTCTCAGGAACGGTGTGCCACGGATTCTGACCGCATTTGTAGACCGGCATCGAAAAAGGATTTTGACCAGAATAAACTCAATAAGATATTTTCCGGAAAAGAATGGGCGTACTTCAAGAAAGGAGCCGGCTTGTATAGTCGTATTCAGTAGCCTTATTGCTTTGAGTTCAAGTTCACCCTGTTCGAGGAGGCGGGCTGGGGTGTTTGAGTGACTGCTGGTATCCTCATCCCCAATTGTGCAAGATGAGAGACGTCTTCGACGACTAAAAGTCCCAAGATATTCTTCAGAAAGAAATAACACGTCATCCGTCTCTTGTTGCGCCTCAAGGTCGATTCTTTCGATAGGCATGGTTGAGAATCGACCTGAGCCTAGCGATCAAGAGAAATGTCTACGTTGTTGCATTAGTTTACTGTGATTCACAATATGAGAAAGAAAAGATTATTATTGCATACCGCGAGCAAACGAGGCAGTTGTTGCCTTGACTAGTGAATAGAAAGTGAAAAGCGATGGTTGGTTGCAGGAGAGAGCCAGAGAAGGCTTTTATTGTATCAGAAGCGGTTAGGTCCTCAACTTGAGGTGAATTCCTCGGTATCTGGGGCAACATATATCTTGCTCTGAGAATATTTGGTCCGTGCAACATGGCCTATGGGTCGTTTGTCTTGTCAAAGCTCTTATTCGTCTTGAAACCTTGGGATAAGTACTATTAACCAGCTAAGCATTTTTATTTAAACGACAGTTATATTCTTGAGGACTGTATCATATTCTCGTGATGTTTGTGCTACAGCTCTATTACAATAACAGGTATATATGCTTCCTTTAGCATCATCGCATCAGTGCTCGCAGGCACTGCCTTTATGTGTGCTTGTATGTGCGTAGGAGCCCATCTCCTCTATCTTTCCATTATACCACAGCGAGAGATAGCTCACCAAGGTCTTATAGAATCAAGGGATCTTGTTACCCGGTCTAAGCTCTTCAATCGATGTTCCAGTCCACCAGTGTTCACTATTTGGGCAGTGCACATCATATCCATATAAACCACACGAGATCTGCTAGCTACGTTACTCAATCTGAGAGTACGTATACCACATCTATATTGGTTATCTAATGAGTCCAAATGGTCTTACTAGCTATTGTATATGTTCAGTAGCTTCTAATGATGGATCCAGCGTCGAACGGGTTTGTGTTGTAAAGATGTTATAAGGCAGAAAGTTTGAATCTGATGAATGAATCCACCGCCGTTCGGATCGAGGTCTAGAAACATGGCTAGATTTATGAATGTCTTTAGAGAATATTTCGCTGGGCCATTCGCTAGACTCTACTGCGCATCATTCATTCAGATGTATGACGTTAGAACATTCTTGAAATATCACATTCCCTGAAGCTAAAGTGTCGCTAAGCCCTCATTTGGTATGATGGAAGTCCGGTGAGTAATAATTTGTGATCCCTGAATGAAAGAAAGAAAAAGGAGTTGTAAAAGTTGAAGGAACCTTTGAAGAACATAATAAATGTTTTTATTGTGTTCTGATGCTGCTTGAAGTTGCTATTTCAAGAGCGGCGGATGGCATAGGGTAAGTCAGGTACAGGTAGCGTTGCCTACTCCGTAAAGCCACTCTGACCAGTTAGGTTTCGGTTAGGCAATAGGTAACTAAGGCACCCAAGGTACTAGTTCAGTGGATCCCGGCAGAGCGACGATTTGCAGTGTGGAGATAGGTAGACCCCAGCGATCCTTGTGTCGACTGTTGAGGTCATTGATGCGATCAACTAGATAAGTACCTGAGGTAAAGTAATCGCAAAACTGATCAGACACTTACCAGGACCAGAACAAAAATGAGTGGGATGTTGATATAGAACATCGAGATATTGCCTGCTCTTGTGGAATGAAAAGCTGTTTCCTATTTCCCCTCGAGATTTGGACAACCTTGCACCCCTGTCTGAGTCTACCTATATCATCACCAATCTTTCGTCACTTCCACACTTCCACACCTTCTGCGCAAGTCGAGATGGCTGCTCGAACATTACGGAAACGTAAGGATGCGCGTAGAGAGGTGGTGCCCGTGAAGAAAATGAAGACCGGGAGGAAGACCAAGTACCAGGTGGAGGATGAGTATTTGGATGACCTACCGCACAATCTGGGACCTGTCCGTGCGCCCCGGAAGGATATCGAATCGATTCCTACACCCCCGGAAAATTCGAAAGAAATGCAGGACTTGGAGGAAAGTGCCAAAGTCGAAGAGGTCTCGCCTGTGGCCAAATCGGGGATGAAAGCTGCGAAGCAAGGTTCGACCCAGGTCACGGAGTTGGCAACCCGAAGATCCCTTCGCCCAAGGAAATCAACATCAAAAACTTCATACTTCGAATCTGATGACGACACAGTAACTAAACCTCAAGTCAAGCTTTCATCCGTCAAGGAGGAGGTCAAGGATGAGGATCTCCAGGTGGCAATAGAAGCACCAGTTCGGAAAACGGTCAAAAAGACGAAGAATAACCCGTATGGACTTACTCCCGGTATGACGCCTTTTCCAGAGTGGAACACCCCGTCAGCAGAAGAATGTGAAGAGGTCTATCGCCGACTGGCAAAAATACATGGAGAAGCAAAAGCCCCCGAGAAGATACCAGCGCCATCTTTGGAAGTGTCGGGTTGCGGAGAGGTACCATCTGTTCTCGATGCCTTGATTCGTACCCGCCTAAGCGCGAACACTTCCAACCGTAACTCAAGTGCAGCATTCAGGGGGTTGGTGACCACATTCGGCACTGTTGACCAAGGTATTGGGAAAGGCAGCGTTGACTGGAACAAGGTCAGAGTTGCTCCTTTGCCCACCATCGTTGAATCAATCAAGACAGGCGGCTTGGCTCAAGTCAAGGGCAAAGACATAAAGGCAATCCTGGAGCTAGTTCATGAAGAGAACACCAAACGACGAGAGGCCTTTATGCAAGAGAAAAAAGGGGGAAACTTATCTGGTATTGCCGGAGCGGACAACAAAACTCAAGGTCAAAAAGATCTTGAAATCTTAAAGACAGACCAAGATATTCTTTCACTAGACCATATACATGGCATGGCTCCTGATGAAGCCATGCAGACACTCACCAAATTCCCTGGTATTGGTGTCAAGACAGCATCTTGCGTTATTCTCTTCTGTCTCCAACAACCTAGCTTCGCCGTCGACACCCATGTTCACCGCATCAGTGGATGGTTGAAATGGATACCCCCCAAAGCCACTCGAGATCAAACATTTAGTCATCTGGAGGTGCGCATCCCCAATCATCTGAAGTATGGATTGCACAAGCTGTTCGTCCAACACGGACGAAGTTGTATCCGCTGTAGAGCAAACACAAGCGAGGGGAGCGAGGAATGGAATAAATCAAAATGTCCTCTTGATGGGCTGATGGAGCGAACGGGGAAGAGGCAGTATGGAGGGAAAGCAGGATTGAAGAAGCAGCTGAAGGAAGAGGACAGTGATTAAGTGCCTGTAGTTAGATACCAATTGGGGGTTGTTTTCGTTAAATAAGTTGCACCTCTTCAGCATTTCGTGCAACTAAGTACTATGTTTCTTACACATGCAATGCATTATCCTGCTTGTGTCCTATCACAAGCCATCTCAGCAACCATTTCACCAAAATTAGACATCAGTGGCTTCGGTGCCTTGTCAGCCAGCGACGAACGGCCCGCTATTTCTCATTAAACCCCCTGCAGAAAACGCGGCAACTCAAGCGCGTCAAAGCCCAGCCAGTTTCTGACCTACCTTAGCGTTACAACTAAGGTATTTTCCTATCCTGATCTTCTTCTTTCGTATTGCTCCGTAGGCTCATTGTTTTGCTGGAATACAAGCTTCGACAGGATATCCAGGGACTTCATACATTCTCTGCGACTCAGACTTTTTTATTCGCATCACCGTTTTATCTCCTACGGTTGTCCCGCAAACGATCAGACACTTACGGAAGGGTTTGTTTGATCTTGAAGCCAGAGTGCCCCAGCAACGATCCCTCAACACAACTTCGAATTTTCGACCACCACGACCGACCAACCTTCATCTCGTTGCGACAACCTTGGGCATATCCTTCTCTTCGTTGAATGCGATCCTCGCTAGACTTGGCAATAAATTGTCGCAACCTCATGACAATCCGACCTCCCACATCACCCCCGAACCCTTTGTTTTAGCCACGATCGCAAGAGATGCGCCAACGTACCTGCGAACCCTACAATGGATCTTCATGAGCAACTCAGCCAATGGTACGAGAAGATTCAACGCTTCGACGAGGAATGTCATCTCCTGTGCCCACGCATCAACGATGAGGATAATGAAAACTACAAACTCGTGGACGACCCCGACTCATCGATTACGCCAGAAGAAAAGAATAGTCGAATTAAGGCAGGAAAGGAGCGGCTCGAGGTCACATACTGGAATTGCCTGATTTTCGGCTTCGATCAATCAAGCCAAGGGAAATGGGGAGAGCAGCTCAGCGAGAGGCTTAACGGGTGCCTAAAGCATTGCGCAGATTGTGTCTATAATTGGCATATGCAGCGCCGAGAACTCTTGCAGCAATTCCAAGAACGATGGAATGAAGAAGTTGTAGTCGATATTCGGTCGATGTTGGAGCAGAGAGATGTTGAACGAATCGACCTAAGCCTGCGATGGGCCAAGGGGTTTATTGAGAAGATCATTTCAGAAGGCTCTACTTTCAAGAAATCCCAACTCGGTGAGCATCTACCTGAGGTCCATATCTCTATATACGAGGCACTATGCTGCATGCCGTATATGGAGGATGCGGATCGAAGGATGACCTTTCAGTATGTTTTCCAGCGACTTCAAGGTAAAAGTGGCCTCAAGCTTGGGACCAAGGAGCCTTTGCCTGGAATGACCTACTTTATCTTTGACCTCAAAAACCAGGATCGCCGGAAATGGGCAACAGATAACTATCGAAACCTTGACAGCAATAGTATGACATTGGAACAGTTCGACTGGGCTGTCAGCAGCGGTCTGACAAGGGCCATTGAGGACATTTCCAAAAAAGAGGCTTCAGCTATGGACTCATGGCCTGAAATGGCGCAGTTCTGGGAAGGATTCAATGAAATTCTCAGGACGTTGACTGCGGACGTCATTCTGCAGCGGTTACGGAATCTTGAACTGAGTGGCACAGTCAGTCACATCTACGACCTTCTGTTCCGCCATATCCAGTTCTGCCCTGCAGAGAGTGTCTTGGTAATGGCCATCACAATCCTCACAAACTTTCTAAAGAAGGCACCCAGGGCTTTTTGGGATGTCATCGGTGATGCCCGGCCAAATGTTATCGCTGACTTAATCTTTGCGAGTCCCGGATACAAGAATCTCCTTCGTCAGTCTTTAGAAGAC